TCACATATACCCTCACATGCTTCCCTCACATACTCCCCTCCGTAGAATCACCACATACTCGTCTCACATAACTCCCTCACACGTTTCCCTCATATAAACCCTTGCAGACTTTCCGCGCATGCTTCTCTCACATGCTTCTTTCACGTACTCTCCTCATATGATTCCCCAATCTCTTCTCACATGCTTCCCTCACATTCTCCCGTCGCATACTACCCTCACGTGACTTTCTCACGTATTTCCCTCACATACTCCCCTCATACGCTTCCTAAAACTCCCCTCATATGCTTCTCTCACATGCTTAACTCACATACTCCCCTCATATGGCTCTCTCACATGCTTAACTCATTATGCTTCCCTCACATAATTTCCTTGCAAACTTCCCTCAAATTCTTCTCTCCTATTCTTCCCTCACATTCTATGAAATATATTTTCATATATTGCGATTTCGGCGAGTGATTAGTCACCATTTACATTTAATTACACCGTAATGATCCAGCAGATATCTGGTAATTTCCTTTATGGTGTTAAAAGAGTAAAAAAAAGAAAACAATAGGAATGAAAAGAGAAATAATAGATAATAAATAATAATAAATTGAAGGAGAAAAACAGGAGAAATTTGAATTAAATTATGACAAAGTTGTCTGAAATGTTTCACGAAATGGGACATAAATAAATAATTATTTCGAGACCATGAATTATACATAAATGAATTATGAATAATTAATTGTGCATAAAAGATAAACTTATGATTAAAAATCAAGACACAGCGATTTATTTTTAAAGACTAAAAAAGGATAGAAATGTTAAAGAAAATGTACGAAAATGTTGTTACCAGGTACAATTATTGCGGTGATGTGAAGAAAAAGCTTTGAGTGCAGACGAAGGCGAATTAAATAATTTGTTAATAAATATAATGATTGAAGTGAAGGAGAGGTATACAAGAATTTCTTCATAAATAGAATGTCGGTAATGAATGATGGTCGAAAATCCATAGAATTTTTTCATCACGTGCACCATGACAGAAAATTATTTAGCCACCCCATCCGTTTAGTTTTAATCATCTATCATTAATATTTATCATTCCTATAAAGACAATACGAGCGTCAACGTCATTCAATTAAAAAATTCCATACAATCATCATGTGGATAAATGCGGTGAAGCCAACAATATGAATGTAGTTTTTATTTTGTAAAAAAAAAAAAGAATATGTGTGTTATATGTATGCTGTAAAACCCATAATATGTAGATTGTATTCATGCCGTATACCCATAATATGTAGATTGTATTCATACCGTAAAACTAGTAATATGTGTGTAATGTTCATCTTGTAAAACCAATCATTTTTACGTCAAAATTATGCACCGAAACCAACAATTTGCATATTAAATTTAAAATGTAAATCCAAAAACAGGTATGTTATGTTTGCAAATAAAAAACTTGATCATCAAGAACATGATATCAGGAAATGGAACAAATTTCCTAAGATTTTCTCACTTCCTTAAAAGTGTTCAGTACCAGAGGAGTGATTTAAAAAAAGTAAGAAACATGTAAGACAATGAAAATTATTCACCTGTGTTTACTGAAAAGAAATCCGAACTGAATAAATGAACATAATGAAAAAAATTAAAAAAAGAACATGAAAATATTGTAAAAATAAAATGAGAAAGCATTTTTTCCAATGAAGTTTGGTAAAACATGAAATACTCGTAAAGCGACATTCATTTCCCAATGAATGTCAATGAATTCATTTCCCAAAGCAAACAAATAAGCCAAGCCCTCCCAAAAAATGATATCCTCCTTTAAGTATGAAAATTAAATGATATTTTTTTGCATCGTCTGCGAGAAGATTGTTCTTTAATTATGAAGCGACAGTAAAATTGTCTCGAACGGTAATTTTTTAAAGAAGTTCTGCATATAATTAGCTTACCGTGTCAACAAAGCCAAATACCGTCAACCCTTCGTTAAGAAAAAACATGAATAATGTACAGGCATAGAAGAAGAAAATTTAATCCACTTTCAGGATAAAGATGATAGAATTAAGCATAATTGATAAAAAAATATCCCTAAGCCGGAAATGACTAAACCAAAAATTTATTCCCAAATAAAAATATAAACTAAAAAACGAAAATAAAAACCACTTTCAGGATAAAAATAATAGAATTAAGCAGATTTAAAGTGATGAAGAATATCCCTAAGACGGAAATTATTTTTAAACCAAAAATTTATTCCCAAATAAAAAATTAAAAAAAAAAAACAAAAATAAAAACCTTTTCATCTCAGAAATGAAGCTACGTTCAGGCAGTCGCGAGTCGTCGTCCTGACTCAGGAATGAATACATGGATGACTGGTTGAGACTTGCCACACTGGGGGAACTGGAGGAATAACAAGGGAATGAATACATGGATGACTGGTTGAGACTTGCCACACTGGGGGAACTGGAGGAATAACAAGGGAATGAATACATGGATGACTGATTGAGACTTGCCAGGGAGAACTGGTTAAAAAGCTGAACAACTGAACATTCACAAAGTCAATGCGGAGGTTTGTACAAAATATTCGAGAGGCATGAAATCAATGAATGAATTAATCAAAAATAATAATAATTCTATGAAACAAGTACGAATCTGTGAAAAATATTAAAGACATTTTACTCTGCTCAAGTTGGAAAGTGTGTCCAGAAAATGCAGCCTGAAATGTACAATAAGAAAAATAGATGTTTTGAAACGTAAGCACATAATTTTGGCATTAAATTTTCGAACGAAACTGTTACCTTATATATGAAAAACTAAAAGTCATCAAAAAACACAAATTTGGTAGAAAATACAATTAGAATAAAAATGTTACAACAAAATTTTTCTAAGAAACACGGGCGAAAATTGCAATGATAGAACAAATTCTGTAATAAAACATAAAAAATTGTGTAATGTATATTAGAAATTTTTATCAACACAGAATGTTACACAAAATAAGTTGGTATTTGAACACAAATGGAATACAAGGAACACAACACAAATAAGGATCGTCTCAAATACGAGTCAGTTCGGTCAGGATCGTTAAAAAAACTATAATTATAATTGTAGAACTGAAATTATAGTTGTTTACAATAGCTGCTTGTTAAAATATAATTTCGTGACCAACTACCCTAAACTCAGAGGTCAGTAATATAATTATAAAACTATTTAATTATATAATTAATTATATTACATAATTAATAATTAGTTATATAATTATATCAAAATATAATTATATAATATAACTTGAGGTCAGTATCCCCGAGAGTGGTGACAGCTTGGCACGCTGCCTGGCTATTCCGACGACGCTCCGCGGTTATCAGGACCAAGATGAAAAGTTAGGCCGAGATGTCATAAGATAACAATAATAATAACAGTAATAATTAACGAGCGCAATATAGAAGTCTCAGCAATAATAATAAGATGTCAGTCGAAGATAAGAAGAAATCATGGTGAAGTGTTTTTTAAATCGCCTAATTGAAATGTAGAAAAGCTGCAAAATAAAATTTTAAATTAGAATGTACAAAATTATTTGCAACTTTTGGTAATAAGATTATAATAGGGAAAAATTTTAAAGCACAAATTTGCAAAAATGTTTGTGAGTTTTTATGAGGAAGGCACTTTGCGAATGTTGCACTCGAAAGCATTTTAATAAGCTGTGCATCTGAAATAAAAGTAGAATCAAGCATATGCAGCACGAGTACCAACTTCACGAATATAATTGAGTCTTTAAATCAAGGTAAGACTGATAAAAATGCCAATGCCACAGTATATCGACGGCAAAATTACAGCAGCACACCCCAAAATATGACTCTACACAGACTCGAGTAGGTTTAAGCTCAAGTAAGGTTTATTTCCACCTCGTTTACACAGAAACCAAATGTCGAAAGTCAAAGAACATGAAAACGCGATCTTTTACCTTTCAGGTGCGAGAAACCAAGGCCTATTAAAAGAGTATATAGGCCTATTAAATCAAATGCCGAAAGTCAAAGAACACGACAGCGCGATCTTTTACCCTTCAGGTGCGAGAAACCAAGGCCTATTAAAAGAGGATACAGGCCTATTAAATCAAATGCCGAAAGTCAAAGAACGCGACAGCGCGATCTTTTACCCTTCCGGTGCGAGAAACCAAGGCCTATTAAAAGAGTATACAGGCCTATTAAATCAAATGCCGAAAGTCAAAGAACACGAAAGCGCGATCTTTTACCCTTCGTGTGCTGCAGGTGTGAGAAACCAAGGCCTATTAAAAGAGTATATTTTCTCCGACGTAAACAGCCGCAATGATGACGTACGGAGAGCTCGCTTCTGCTGCAAGGTTGACGCGTCGCGGCCACGTATAAACATGATCCTAACGTGTCTGGCACGGAGCCACATTCCCGAGTATTCGCGCGTTCGATAAAAATTGTTCTTTACGGCGAAAAAATCGATCAATCGATACAATTCAACTTACAACCACCATTCACGAGTCTAATTGCGTCGATACACGGACGGTTATTTCGGTATGCGTCGGCTAGAAAACGGGGAGCAGTTTCAAACTCCGAAAACCTTTGTGATAAAATATTTCATTAATTTGGGAAAAACAGTTCACACAGGACGAGCGTGTTTTCCCCAACTTGCAATCCAATCTCACAAGTTTCACTCTCATCCACTTCTTAAACAGAAGTTTGAAAAATAAATAACCGATTCCACAAACTTGATGCTAAATAGCCAAAGTTAGTATTGAGCGCACAAAGGATATCAACTCAAGGAATAGGGTAACAACCCAAAGTCTAGCAAATATGTACAAACGTAATCGGTGAAGTTTCTTCAAAAAAAAAATTCACACGCTTTTTAATTTCATCAACCATCCGGAGTTCATGGAATTCAGTTCAAATTGGTGAAGTTTCTTAAAAAAAAAATTCACACGCTTTTTAATTTCATCAACCATCCGGAGTTCATGGAATTCAGTTCATGTTAGTAGGTCACTAATGTATAGCACTAAGACATACTGCTCGAATAGCTCCATATCCTCTTCAGGCGATGCACCTTCAGGTGATTTCGGACGACGAGGTTTGGGCTTGGGTGGCTCTTCTTTCTTCTTTTGCTTTGCTAGTTCTTTCTGCTTCTGTTCTTCAGCCATTACTTTTTCCAACAACGCAGCCTTTTCATCTGATTCCTTTTTCCTTTCAGCCGCTTTACGAAGCTCTTCATTAATTAAAAGTTCATCAGCCTTTGCCTTTTCAAGTGCCTTTCTTTCATCTTCAAGTTGTTTGCGTTCAGCCTGCTCTCGTTTCTTCTTTTCCTGTAATTTGCGATCTTCCGCTAAAACTCTTTCTTCGAGGGCCTTTCTATTTTCCAGTTCTATCTTCTTCTCCTCAGCTTTCTGCATTTCTTCCATAACAAGCATATTATCTCGCTGTCTTCTTTCCACAGCTTGCCTTTCATTGTCCCTCTCAATTTCCTCTTCTGTAATACGATTCGCCTCATCTTTCTGTTTATTGCCTGCAGCGACAGCCAGTTCCTCAATTTCTTTACTTTCAGCCTTACACTTTTTATCATCTTCTGAAGTTCTTAATTCTTTGGCAATAATTTCCATGTCATCTCCGACGTTCTGGGCAGGCTCAGTGACGCTCTTACCGGTCTTAGACACCTTTTTCACGATAATTTCCGGTTCGAAGGCCTCCTGGATTTCGTGAACATCGGGCTGGAAAGATACCTTCTTCTGGCTTTGTTTGACAGCTTGTCCTTCCGTTCTTTCATCCAAAGCACTTTCAAAGTCAGCAAATTCCTGAGCAATAATCATCTCTTCTACTGCAGCAGCTATTTTATCATCGCGATCTTCCAAAGCTTTTTGAAGCGCAACAGTTTCCTCCTTCTTGCTGGCAACGAGATTCTTCTCACGTTCAGCTTCTTCAGATTCTTTCTGTTTTCTTTTCCTGTCTTCTTCAAGAACTTTCTCAGTCAGGATTCTCTTTTCATCAGCAAGTTTCTTTTCTTGGTCAGCTTTAGCAGCAGCTTCGCGTATGATAGCTTCGTCGATACGTCTCTGCTGTTCCGCTTTCCGATTGGCTTCTTCAACACGAGCTTTTTCGATCATCTCTTTTTCGGCCTCTTGAGCGAGTTTAGAAGCTTTAATGGCTTCTTCCTCGAGAGCTCTTTTCTCGTCAGCAACTCTTTTCATTTCTTCGATTTTCATGAGTTCTAAATTAATTTTTTCGTCGTCGCTGCTCCTCATTTCCACCGACCGATCAAATATTTCAGAAGATTTACTTCCATGTGTAGTCGAACTTGTATCAATAGTTTCTGTAATGGTTCCCGTTCCTTCATTAGCTTCCCCAAGTAAACGTTCACCTAAATTTTTAGGTTTTTTCATTTCTTCGATAATTTTTACTCTGGTTTGAGACTCTACATTCACATCTAATCCATTCTTGATTGACGGTTCTTGCTTGTACTTTTCATTTGAATTCGGTTGATCGGACCTATTCAATCCATGTCCGCGTTTTCTCCGGTCATTCTCAATGGCTTGCTCCTCCATGCTTTTGTTAAGCAATTCCTTCTGCTTACGTGCTTCAGTTATCTTCATTTCATCAGCGATACGTTGGTCATCACCATCTTTCTGTTTATTCGCCATTTCTTGTTCAATCAGAACCTTCTCCAAGTCCTGTTTCTGTTTGAGAATACCTCTATTTCGACGATCAAATTCAAGAGCTTGTTCCTCCATGCTCTTATTCAGGAGTTCTTTTTCTTTCTTTGCCTCAGCAATTCTAATTTCATCGGCAATTCTTTTGTCATCAGCTTCTTTCTGCTTGCAACGTTTTTCTTCGTCAATCATCTGATTCTCGCCTAGCTGCTTCTTTTTAAGCGCTTCGCGATTCTTCCGATCAGCTTCCAGCACTTGTTCTTCCATGCTCTGATTTAACAAGTCTTTCTGTTTTTTAGCTTCAGCAATCAGGAGGGCATCCTGAATTCTCTTACTGTCTGAAACAGGTTCCAATCCATCTGATCCAGACGCAGAATCATGGGAGGTTTTCTTTGACGTTTCTGTTCTCTTTCGGTCATTTTCTAGAGCCTTTTCTTCCATGCTTTTATTTAAAAGTTCTCTCTCTTTCTTAGCCTCAGCAATAATCTTCTCATCAGCTTTAGCTTTCTCGATATCATCCTTTACAATTTCTTCTTTTCGAGTGATCGCCTTGCTTTTCCTGTCATTTTCAATAGCTTGTTCCTCCATGCTTTTGTTTAGCAATTCCTTCTGCCTGTGTGCTTCAGCTATCTTCATTTCGTCAGCTATTCGTTGGTCATCATCACGCTTCTGTTTCGCCAATTTTTCTTTTTCAATCAGAACCTTCTCTAAGTCCTCTTTCTGCTTCAGAATATCTTTATTCCTACGATCAAATTCTAGAGCTTGCTCTTCCATGCTCTTATTCAAGAGTTCTCTTTCTTTTTTCTCTGAAGCGATTTTCATTTCTTCACGTATTTTTAATTTGTCAGCTTCCGTCTGGGCACGCTCTCGTTCAGCGTTAGCAAGTCGTTGTGTATTCTCCTCCTCATCTTTTAAAATTTCTCGATTCTTTCTATCTATTTCAAGGGCTTGTTCTTCTAACATATAGTTCAAAAGTTCTTTTTGTTTTCTAGTTTCTGTTTGCTTAAGCTCATCTTCTATTTTCCGGTTATCATTTCTTGTGTCTACCATTGCGAGATTAGAGTTAGGCACTTTCTCGGTTGCTTGGCCAGCTTCTGCGTCATCAGAAGCCAGATGTTTCGAATTTGGGATGGATACTGGAGTATTTTCTGTCTTGTTGATAGCCGAGGAAGTTTGTATTTCTGATTCTACAACCGAAGCAGCTTCATCCTTTTCTCCAGTAAAGCAGGGTTCCAACTCGTGTTGAGTTTCTCCTGAATCTGCTTCATCGTTCAACATGAAGGGAGGACCTATTGGGCCAACATAATTAGGAACTTCTTCACTTGTTACAGGCAGAAGAGAAGCATTGCGCTTTGACTCCGTTTCATCTGTGAATTCTATTTCTTCCTCCCCAATTGCTGGTTTTTCCTCACTTCCCACGGAACGAATGTTCGCTTCGGACATTCCAACAGTGGTTTCTTCGAGAACTTCCGACTGGCGAGTCTGTTTTAAATCTTCTATTTCAGGTGGTTCTAATTCCTGTCCTAGTTTTGAAGCACTTTCCTTGACTATCTCTTCCATTCCTAAAACATGTTCTTCCTTACTTTGATCGAGACATTCTCGTTGCTGGGTAATTTCAGGCGATTCAACATCAGCAGCATAAAAAGGGTTTTCGTCTTCTTTCAGTTCATGCACACTTCTTTCTACAGCAGCGTCTTTCTCAGCTGCTTGTTTCTTCTGGAGAAGATCTCTATTCATTCGATCAATTTGGAGAATTTTTTCTTCAAGACTCTGGTTCGCCTGTTTGCGTTCCTTCTCTGCTTCAGCTTTCTGCAATTCCTCCATTATTTTCCTATTATCAGATTCGACCTGATTGCGTTTCTTTTCCTCTTCAATGGCCTTCTTCTCTTCTTCCCGCTTCCTTTCCAGAGCTTCCCGTTGCAAACGGTCAACTTTGAGCACTTGTTCTTCCAAACTTTGATTCGACAAAACTTTCTGTTTATTTGCTTCGGCAATTCTTAATTCAGATAAAATTTTATCAGCATCAGAAGCAGAATCAACTTTATCCGATCTAGGAACCGAGTCTAGCGGTATTTTACTGGGAGTTTCTTTACCTTCTTGATCATTTTTCTCGGTCTGTTCTTCCACACTCTGTTTCAAATGGTCTCTCTGTCTTTTAGACTCATCTGTTACTTTTTCAAGATTCCGTGCTTTATTGAACCCATCACTTGCTATCTCAGGTGCTTTAACATTTGCTGTCTTTTTTCTGTCATTTTCAATAGCTTGTTCTTCCATGCTTTGATTTAGCAGTTCCTTATGCCTGCGTGCTTCAGCTATCTTCATTTCATCGGCGATACGTTGGTCATCATCACACTTCTGTTGAGCCCACTTTTCTTGTTTAATTAGATCCTGCTCCAAGTCCTGTTTCTGTTTGAGAATATCTTTATTTCGACGATCAAATTCAAGAGCTTGCTCTTCCATGCTCCTATTCATGAGTTCTTTCTCTTTTTTTGCCTCAGCAATTTTAATTTCATCGGCAATTCTTTTGTCATCAGCTGCTTTCTGTTTGCGTTGCTTTTCTTCTTCAATCAACTGATTCTCGCCAATCAGTTTCTTTTTCATCGCTTCGCGATTCTTACGATCAGCTTCGAGCACTTGTTCTTCCATGCTCTGATTTAACAAGTCTTTCTGTTTTTTGGCTTCAGTAATCAGCAGAGCATCTTGAATTTTCTTACTGTCCGAATCAGGTTCAACTCCACCTGGTGTAGGCGGAGAGTCTAGTGGGGTTTTCTTTGAGGTTTCGCTTCTCATACGATCATTTTCCAAAGCCTTTTCTTCCATGCTCTTATTCAGGAGTTCTTTCTCTCTCTTAGCCTCAGCAATAATCCTCTGATCAGCTCTAGCTTTTTCAACATCATCCTTGGCAACTTCTTGTTTCTGAGAGATTTCCCTTCTCTTCCTGTCATTTTCAATAGCTTGTTCTTCCATGCTTCGGTTTAGCAGTTCCTTCTGCCTGCGTGCTTCAGTTATCTTTATTTCATCAGCGATACGTTGGTCGTCACCATCTTTCTGTTTTGTGGATTTTTCTCTTTCAATCAGAACCGTCTCCGTGTCTTGTTTCTGTTTGAGAATATCTCTATTTCGGCGATCAAATTCAAGAGCTTGTTCCTCCATGCTCTTATTCAAGAGTTCTTTTTCTTTTCTTGCCTCAGCAATTTTGATTTCATCGGCAATTCTTTTGTCATCAGCTTCTTTCTGCTTGCGACGTTTTTCTTCTTCAATCATCTGATTCTCGCCTAACTGCTTCTTTTTCAGCGCATCGCGATTCTTCCGATCAGCTTCGAGAGCTTGTTCTTCCATGCTCTGATTTAACAAGTCTTTCTGCTTTTTAGCTTCAGCAATTAGGAGGGCATCCTGAATTCTCTTACTATCCGAAACAGGTTCGACTCCATTTGATCTAGGTGCAGAACCTTGAGAGGTTTTATTTGACGTTTCTCTTCTCTTTCGATCATTTTCCAAAGCCTGTTCTTCCATGCTCTTATTCAAAATTTCTCTCTCTTTCTTAGCTTCAGCAATAATCTTCTCATCAGCTTTAGCTTTCTCGATATCGTCTTCGACAGTTTCTCGTTTCCGAAAGATTTCCCGTCTTTTCCGGTCATTTTCAATAGCTTGTTCTTCCATGCTTCGGTTCAGCAGTTCCTTTTGCCTGCGTGCTTCAGCTATCTTCATTTCATCAGCGATTCGTTCATCGTCAGCTGCTTTTTGTTGAGAAGATTTTTCTTTTCCCTCAAGATATTGAGATGACTCTTGATTTTGCCTCAGGAGTAACTTATTCCTACGATCAAATTCCAAAGCTTGTTCCTCCATACTCTTATTCAATAGTTCTTTCTCTTTCCTGGCGTTTGCGATTGCTATTTCATCTGCAATTCTCTTACTATCAGCTGTTTGCTGTTTAAATTTCTTTTCGTTATCGATCAAAGATTTTTGCTCCCCTAATTGCTTTTTAATCAATTCTCTGTTTTTCCGATCCATTTCTAGAGCCTTTTCTTCCATGCTCTTATCCAGTAACTTTCTCTGCTGAATAGCACCTGCAATTTGGATTTGTTCCGCTATCTTCCGAGCATCTGCTTCGTTTAAACCGTTTCTTACTTGACTCTCACCTGAACCATCAGCCTGTGCTGCAACCACATTCCTCTTAGTTTGAGTTACAATTATTTCTTTAGCAACGGGTACCTCCTGCAAATGCCGATCATCTAGGCCTACACTCTGACTTTGGTATTCCTCATCTTCCCGTGCTATCCTATCACGTTCTAGAGCCATGGCTTCCATTGCTCTTCTTTCTTCCTCTAATCTCTTCATTTCTCTAGCAATTACTTCTGCGTCTCTTCGTCGTTGTTCGGCCAACCTAATGGCTTCTTCTTTGGCTCTTTTTTCATCTTCCTGCCTCTCACGTTCTATTACCTCCATAACTCTCTGCTCTTGTATTCTCCGTTCCTCGGCTCGTCTGGCTAATTCTTTAGCTATCAATTCTTGATCTTTCAACCGTTGGTTTTCAATTTGGTCCAGTGCTTTGGCAATGCTAGCCCTATCACTTTCCTCTTTCTTTCTGTTCTCTTCGGCTATCCGCTCTCTTTCGAGCTTCCGTTCCTCCTCTATTCTCCTAACTTGTTCGTCAATTAAATCCTTGTCAGTTCTTTTAGGCTGGGACCTTTGCATTAGTTCTTCTTGAATAGCTTTGGCTTTCTGAGCTTTGGCTTCTCGTTTGGCTTGTTTTTTGGCAGCTTCAAGGCACGCTTTCTTTTTTGCCTCCTCTAGGGCTTCTGCACTCGTCCTGGATCCATCTTCGTTCTCAATTGCGCTCAACTTTTCGGCGACTAAAGCGATCTCAGGACTGCATGAAATGGCCTGAAGTTCATCGGCAGCGAAACTTGTGTTCACTGATGTGTTGAGTGTCGTATTGAGCGACTCAGGCCTAATCGTGGAAACAGATAATTAGATAACAAATCGGTATTAGTTACTTGGAATTTTTTGGTCTTGGCTTGTATTAATTAAACGATCGGTGCACGATTGAAAACGAAAAACTATAAAATCTACTCAAAATTCAGGTATGATTGGAGACGAAAAATCCCATATTTTTTGAGTTTTAACGATTTACAATAGCTTTTGAAAATTGTTCTGTGATTTTGAATGTCACCACATTTACTATGCAAAAAGTAATAATCAAGCAACCGAAACGAAGTAAAAAAATCGAGCCTGATTATATTATATTGATTACTTGGCTTTTTAGACTACATTCATGGATGAGAAACTTATTCCGTTCAATTTTTTTTTCATTTCAACTAAAATAAATTATTATTTTCTAGCTTTCATTAACCATGGAGCAAACGATTCAGAATACTGATTAATTGTGTTCATTATTATATGATGTGAAGTGTTTCTAATTTTTCTACAACTTGGTTAGCTGTGTCCGTTGAATGTTAAATTAGCGTGTGCACACTGATCCATTTGATAAAGTTGTTCCTTATCTTATTTTTTGTCGAGCACCACTTGGATATGCTACTCAATAGACACTAATGTGTAGAATTAGCTGCGGTAGTGTCAATTATTGCGCTAAGTTTTAGCGCATTAAATCGTTGTAATTAGAGGGTGTGTCGATGGGAACTGGCGGGCGTCATGTGACAACAGCTGCCATCGTCATCGGTTTATCTTTGACTAAGGATTTTTATGGTATAAAATATAACTCATTATAAATAGTTGATGAAGCCGAAGAAGTTCAGGTACCACAGGTAGGACATGGCCAAAGTTACAACTAAATAAAAAGATATAAATTATGAGAATCTCCCCCTTCAACACTTGTGATCAAGAGGAATAAAATAATCTTGCCGCAAACGAATGGTATTTCAGGACGGTGAAAATAAAAATTATGATTCTTTGATCACATTTTTTATTTTGTGCGTATTAAAAGACTGTAATTATAAGTTGTTGCAGTGCTAACTACCCAACCATAAGCATCCAATTCGATTGAGTAATTTTTCATTCTGTTTACTAAATGAATCGGGTGGACCAAACTGATGGCTCTGTTTCAGTTTTGGAAGATGCGATAAACCAATTTTTTCTGATATACCGGTACATCAATTACTCATAAAAAAGCGGTAAATATATTTTTTTCCGAAAAGTTTACGCAACGGAAGCCTTTCCATTTGGAAGCATTTCTATTAATCCTAGTGTCTATTCAAACAGATGAGCATTGGCAAATGACGGTCATGTCTTGAACCATCTTCTGCTTTAGCAAAAGCTTTTTAAAAAACGCCCGAGAAACTAACGGAGCACTTAAATTCTAATTTGATCAGTCCTTGTCAATAGAAAACAGACAACGAGAAAACAAATATACGCAAACTTACACGAAAGAGAAAGCAGAGGAACGAAGAGTTTGAATTCTACATTAAATTCTAGTCGTTTGAATGCTACATTAAATTCTAGTATTCTAGTCGTTTGGAAACTACATTAAATTCTAGTCCTTTGAGGCACAGTACCCAACTCAGTTCGTCTCAAATCACACTATGTATAAAAGCGTGCTAGCTAACATGGCCAAAATAAATTCATGTTAAAAGCGAATGGCTCACTTGAAATCATGTTATGATAGTTTCAATTAACATGGCTTGACAGAAATCATATTATAAGCGTGCTAGGTAGCATAGGTCAACCTAAATCATATGATAAGCATACTAACTAACATTGGACACATAGACTATTGGTGAAATGATCAAGCAACGTAGTTCACCGAAAATCCCAACAATTATAGTAAACTCTACGGAGAAGTTCACATAACTCAAGTGTCTTAACCAGCTATGTTTAAAGTTTGACCATGGGTGTAGTTCGATTATGGGTTGTATATTTTCTAAATATATTTTACTTTTTTCTTATTTTTTATTAGATCCCATATTTTTTAAGTATATATAGCTAGATAAATAGAAATTTATAATTTTATGTGTAGAGATTTTTGTTTCTATTAAAAAATACGTGAAACCGCTATTCGTACCAAGGCAAATCACGTATATGAGTCAAATCACGGGAATGTACGTAGTACAATCTACATTCAGTCGCTGCTGCCATGAGACTCCAAAAATCAAATATTGGCCTGACTATCAAATATTTGTTCATTTTCTAAAATTTGTGAGAATTTTTTCTATTCATATTTTTCCTATAAACATAGCCTGGCATTTTGCGACGTGAATACTTTCGAGTGACGAGTATGTTGAACTGAAGCGAAATGTTGCTTTGTCATTTCTTTGCCAGATAAAAAATATTGCGTAAGTTTAACTTTGAAGCGATTGCAAGTCGCAAAAATAATTGCGCATGTTCGCGCTGTTTAACTTTGCAGCGCTTAAATGCAAAAATTCAATTTAATTTAAGTTCGCGCTTAAATGAAAAGGATTATGCGATATCGCTTCATTCAAATTTTTTTCTAGCCACAGAATAAATTTGCCAATTTACAATGACGTGCCTCGGGCAATTTAAAACATAGCATTGGTTATTCTGAGATCCAGTGAGCCAAAACTTCGGTCAAAGCGCCCGCGATTTATTGTGATACAAATGAAGAAAATGCAAGATTTATTTATCGTTTGGCAGAAGTAGAAAAGTTTTGGAAATGCTACAAAAATTTCTCCATCGTTCTGCGGAAGATACTTGGATCATAAATAATCAACGCTGCTAAGACTCAAAAACAACTGATCAATTCAATGTTTCAACGAAACTTATCTTACAAATAAATGATAACTCATATTAGAAGCGAGTGCACTTATGAGAAATATTTAGATATCCTTGATGTCACTTTTTAATTTCTTCGAATAATTTATTAACTTCTTAACTAGCATCAAACTTCTTAAATTTCCACGTAAAATTTGAAATATAATGATTAATTTCCAGAAATTTTTCCCTATTTTTAATTTCTTCGAATAATTCATTAACTTCTTAAATGTCCACGTAAAATTTGAAATATAATGATTAATTTCCAGAAATTTTCCCTATCGTTAACTCTTCGTCAGCTAAAATTTCGCCGGTTGCTCTCAGTTCCACATAGCAAATCTAATCCCAGTTCTAAAAACTCTTAACATATTTCCGTATGGTTATTTTTTAACGTTCTCCCAAAAAATAGCATATCTTCTGTAATATCCAAACCACTTTGCAGGATCCCTACCACGCACCCCATCCTAGTTTCCTACTCATCCCAAGCTTGGAGCTGGTGCCTCAAACTATTATTTTATTACAATAAAATTGTTATTGCTTTTTATTCCAGATTCTGCTTCATAATCCACGTTTTCCAACAGCATTACCTACCCTGTGTCATCCCAACTCCCCCACATCCTCCAACTTCCTACACCCTCCGACTCCCCTAAATGCCCTAAACTCCCACCCACATCCCCCAACTCCCCCACAGCCCCTCCTCAGTCCCAACATCCCCCCAACTCCCCACATCTACTCAGCTTCCTACAACCCCCGACTCCCCCACATCTCCCTAACTCCTCACATCCCCCATACTCCCCTACATCCCTCATACTCCACCACATCCCTCATACTCCACCACATCCCTCATACTTCAGCACATCCCCCCAACTCCCCCACATTCCCCAACACCCCCACATCTCCCCAACTCCCC